AAATTAATATAAGATTCTGAATTCCTATCAGTGTTAAATATGTTTTTATGTGTCATTATTACTTTGTGCACAGGAAAACTGCAGATAGGCATATGCTTCTTGAAGCTGATGTGCACAGATCTGTGACTGAAGGTATCTCAAGTTTGTATTTCAGTCCTAGTGTTCCTGAAGGTGTCTTGAGCTGTCAGACTTCTGAACTGACTCTGACTTCTGAAGCAGGGTAGGGCAGCAATGAAAGAGAAATTCTACAATAGGCATAGCCTCGTGATGTGACAGAGATCTTGCAGGGACAGAGCTAGAGTGCCAGGGACTCAGACCATTTTTTTACCACAGCTCTTTCCTGGAGTTTTCCAAAACACATGCACAACTCGTTTGGCAAGATCACATTTTGTACCTGCTAAATCAGGTACAATAGCTGAAAACAATTATGATGCCTGCATGTAATTGCAGTGCTGTATTTGGCTTTATGCTGCACAGTGGGATGAGCAGCATTCTTGTCTCCCTTCTGGTAATCAGGAAAAAATTAAAATTCATAGCTGAGATGGTTGACTGTATTACCCTAACAAAAATATGTAATTACAGTCTTTCCATTCTACTCAGAATGAACAAGGTGAAATACTTTAAACATTGATACCACAGTGACCTCAACACATTCCAGGAGAGGAAATTTATCCAGCCCCGCAAAAAAGCAAAGCAAACTGCTCTGATGTGAATGCTCCAACACTTCTTCAGCCCTATCCTGAAAATCTATGGCAGGTGTTCAGTCAGGAGCTCCATGGAAGACAACTTGACTTTTAAGAGAGTTGTCATCCTCCTTGCAAAACTGAGACCAGGGTACAGAAATAAAATTGATTTATATTATTACTAATTTTGATGATGACTACTTTTCAAAGTTGCTCATGCTGTGTTGTGAGAATTAAATTGGCAATGCTGAACTCCAGGCAGTTAAAATTGTTATGGAGTTGAAGTGGCTGAATTAAAATAATAATGAGATCAAAGCAACTGCCAGAATTATCAAAAGGTTATATATCTAAATATAGCTTGTCCTGAAGATACTTCCAACCATTGCACCTGTCAAACTAAATCGATAAGACTGGCTAAAAGCAAAGGTAGGTGTTTTTGTCAGAACAGGTAAAAAACCATATTTAAAAAGTGGTTATTGTGGCCAGCTAGTAAAGTCTTTATCTGAGAACAATTCTTTTCTGTTTCCACAGATTTTCTGTGTTGGGCTGCTGCACACAAACCTGAATGAGCTGACCTTCTCATCAGAATAACCCAACAGAGATGGCATGCAGGGCCAAACATGTTCAGTGGCCACGCAGGCTAATGCCATGCATTTGTTTCCTATGGGTGTTCTGCAAGATGCCTTTCTACTTTAGTCACACAGAATAAATATTGTTTAGGAATTCTGGTTACTTGGAAGGAGAGTTCTGGGAACTGATTTTGAAGTGTGGATGCAGAGAAATAATGCAGCACTACAAAAGGAATTCGTCAAGGCAGATGAATAAAACCCCTCAGGTGACAGATTCTGCATCAGTACATTCAGCGAGGAGCTAAAATTATGCTACTGCTTCTTAAAAGAATTTATGCAGGCAATGAATTCTGTGGACCAGGAAGTGTTTCATCTTTAAGTCATGCTTAAATAACAAGGCTAAGACTCTAGAATATGACTATAAAATTATATTTGTCACTTGCAGTCACCTAATTAAGAACCAGACCCGTTCAACCTCACTCCCCATGTAATAGCTTAATTATTGTATTTGGTGTAATCAAAACCCACACATTTTTAAAGGGTTGTGCAAATGCAGCTTAGGTACATCTCTGATATTGCTAACCCAGAGCCCCATTGTAGCAGGGTTTCACATTTGTAGGAGTAGACTACATTTCACTGATAGAGAGCTGTGCATTCACATTTCATTGCATGAGAGCATTGAGGCAGTGGAGACTGTGGAATCAGTATGTTCAGGCAGAGCAAAAGATAACATAAGCTCAGTCAGCTGCAAGCTTGAAATTAAAAGGAAACAAATCCTCTGCTGTAACCCCTTCCCTCCCACCACCAGATGTACAGGTCTCCGTGAAAAACTGCTGCTTCTAAACCTTCCTCTGCTTCTCTGCACCTTCTTTGCTACATGCACATTCCATTTTCTGTTGAAACAGCCAAAATGGAAGAAAAGCTTAGCTCTCACATTAGCCTTAATAGAAGGTCACAGATGAAAGCAGTGCTGCCACTAAGAGGACACAGACACAAATAAGGCTCTCTAAACTGGTTCTCAAAATCACATCCCTTTTCCCAAGCCAATGTATACCCTGCAGCTGTGCTCACCAGAGAGTAACTGATGCTTTTAACTTTCTGCATAATAGAAAAGCTTTCGAGGAGTGTAATATTACAGCAGTTAGTTTTTCTAAACCAAACCCCTACAATCACAAACAAGGGGGGAAAAACAGATCCTAAAAGGTACAAGTGGAGATTGCGGGTAAAGCTCTGCAGAAGATGGTGGGCAGATGGCAGGGATTTGCAGTGGCACAGCTGCTTTTAAAAATAAAGAGGTGGAAGAGGAGAGGCATGATTAGAGCCACACACACTATTCCTAAACCTCTTCACACAAGAATAAAAATTAAGCTAGCAGTGGGAAACTGAAGTTTGCATATTATTGTTTTATTATCTGGATTGACATTTAGAAACTTTTAATCAGCAGCACCTTCAAGTTTCTTTTCCAATCATCAGTTTTCCAAGTAACCATGAAACAAAGGTTACAACAGAAACATTAACCTACAATGAGATATCAAAAAGGCCAGAATCACAGAATCTTAGGAATGTCAGAATTACTTTCAGTGCCTCCAATTAGCATGCATTTTTTTTCTGTAGGATCTACAATATAAATAGACAATTCTACCAAATCATCAAATAAATATCAATTATGTTACCTGTTTGAATTTCCCATAGAAGGATTTAATTTTTATCATGGTATTTTTTTCCAGGTGTTATTGGTAGAATGCATAGATAAGCAGGGCAAGGAAGAGGAAAATGTATGGGGATTATTGTAGATTAAACAGCACAGGAGGTGAGGCAGGGAAATGCCCAAATTCAATAGGATGCCAAGCACTGGATATGAATTTAGCAAGAATAAAACATTTTTTAACTAAGTGGTAATTTGCATTCAAAACTTCATTTCAGAATGAGGCCTTTGGTTCTTTTTTAATGCATACTTTCATGTATGTCCACAATAGCCACACAGAAAGCCTGCAAGGTAAACGCTAACAAGGTTGCTAATGCAGAGTGTAATAGCCTGGCTTCTCTAGAGAAGCCAAGGGAGCTGTTTCTTGACACCTTTGTTTACAAAATTAACTCTCTTCCAGATAATCTACTCCTAGATCCAAGAAATTTTACATTGAGAGGTACCACTGAACACCAAACCAATAATCTTTTGATCGCTTTTCACACCGCCTCAGTTCACTTTCTTCCCAGTATTAAGTGACTTGTCAGTGTAAACATATTTTTTCTACCTTTTTTTTAAAAAAAAATTAATTTTCTGAACATGCGAGCTAGGATCCAGCAAAAGGAAAAGGTTATCCAGCAACAACCCTAAAGACTTTATACCCATTCTCACTGGTGCTGGCTTGTGCCACAGCTGGGCAGAGAACTGAATGGGCAGCAGGTGAAACCCACCACAAAAATCCACGTATTCCACATCCACTCCTTTCACAGTACCTGGGCTGCTCCCAATCCAAAGACAACAGCAGTAGAGTTGTTACTGTAGGTGCTGCCTAGCACACAAACAAACTCAACAACTGAAGACATTTAAATTAATTTTATTTATACCAGGTTTTCAAAATCAGAAATATTTCAAAGAAATTCAATACTTATAGACAGGTGCTACATTGATGATCTTTGATCCACCATTAGTGCCGTGTTCTCATTCTACAATCAGTAACTCGCCACCACAAACTAAGGGGAACTTACAGAAGTTTATAAAAAATAGGCAGACATGAAAATTTGGTTTATACTGGAATTGGCATAAGAGAGTAAAGCTTATTATCAAATTGTGGCAATTGCTGTGTCCCATCACTCATTCTGAGGAAAGGGTACAGCAGAGAAACTTTTCCACTTAGAGAAACACTTTGGGTTTTAACCACACATGCTCAAAATGAACTTAATGATCCGACTAGGAGTGATTCTTACACTCACGTCCATATACATTTAAGCTTTGCATTTCTAAAATCGCCACAAGCATAAACCTCACCTACTCACTCTAGTCTTGGATCGATTTCCCTTTTCGGAGAAATCAAACCCACATGTCTATACCTCTTCCAGGATTTACCAAATCAAACAAAACAACTGCTGGCTTTGAAGTATTTCTTTTAGAAGAAAAATGCCATTTCTGCACAAGCTACTCTCATGAAAATTTTAACATTTCTTTATCAATAAAATAACCAAAGCCAAGATACTCAAAAGTCACGTCTACATGGAGACACACAGAAGAAACTCGAGAGGATTTTCCTCCACTTCTCGATCACAATGAGGCCCTCACCATTTTGCATAATGACAGAAAACAACAGCTGACAAACCATTTCAGAACAGATGCCAGCTGTCTCTCATTTCTTTTATAATTCAAACAGTAACAGTTCTGTAGCACTTTATTGGTTTTTTTTTTTTAAAAGCAAGCCATCTGAATTGGACCTCGCATCAGTCAGTCAGTCATTTCAAGAACAAACTGAAGGCAGGCTGATCCTTTTGGATCCAAAACTTAATTTGGTAGGAATCTTACATAAATACAGTTTGTGCTTCAATTTCATAGCTACTTGGACTGAGTGAATATACACCTAAGCTAGTTAAAAAAAAAAAAAAAAGTAACCTTTAATATTCAACTTAGAAGCCACAGACATTTTTCCAGACTGTTTGCAGCAGAGACACACAATAAATTTAAACACAGTACTGCTTAAAAAAAATTTACTGTCTAAAATGAAAATTCAAATGTTTTATTAAAATTTAACATTTTCCGTTTTGGCTTTTTCTAAAGAAACAATTCATTCCTTGTGAAAAATCGGCAAAAAAGATAATTTCATTTTACTGTACTGAACTCAAGTCAAACATAAAGCACAAAGGTCTTTACATTAAACTGGGTTTTGCACACAACATGAATGATCAAAACCAGACTACTCTGAGGAATAAAAAGTTGGGGTTTTTTTTAACCTAGACAACATGCATACCATCAGTTACTTCTCAACCTTAAAAGGTACCTGAAAGGAGAGTTTTGTAGAACAAAACCAAGACTCATTAATACACTTAGTAAGTCAGTGGTCATCATGCCTTTTTAGTTAAATTCTAGTAAAGTTTAGTCTACATAGAACAGCTAACACAATGAGGTGTGCAAGTCATAGGGATAGCCAGAAGCCTGAAACAAAGTCTTAAAGTTCTACAGGACAAGAGAGCCTAAACACAGTACCACTAGGCTATTTAAACTACTGAAAAAGAAGAAAAATAACTGGGTTATTATTTCTTCCTTGTTGAATAAGGGCTATGGACTGAACATAAGGGGCCCGTCTTTAAAAGCTCCACAGTTCTATTCCACCAACTTTTAAAGTAAGGTAATGATAAAGAGCATTCCTTCTAGCAGCATGCACAGTTCAGCTGCCAGTGGCTGCCTAATAGCACTCCTTTATGCATACCAGGAGAATCATGTCCAGTTTTGCCATTTGTGGATAACGATGACAAGATACAAAAGCATGTGTTTGCCATAAATAGCTCTGGCTAACGGAGGATTGCTCACACAGAGCAGATCAAATTCTCTATAAGGAAAGCATTATTTGGCTCCCAGCCAAAACACGTCCCCAGTGCAAGCCTCAGTAGTGGCAAACACTTTCCAGTTCTATTTACATAGAAGCTAATAAGTAGAACGGTTCATTTAGGCTATTTCTTGTACCAAGTCGGTCGTAACTGCAACACTCAAGAAACAAAATTACTTCCCAGCTTCCTATTCTGCATACAACTGTCATTACACATTGTCTTACCGAAAAAGACGTCGAGCTGTAAAATCTCGTGCAAGGTTTTACTCTGGCATGTAGAACTTTAAGAACATTCAGGTACGAAACACACTGCATGGTTAATTACTTGGTATTTTTACGTTTCTGACACAAGTGTTTCATGGAACTAATGGTCTCCAGTAGTGGTAGCTTCTTTACTTGAACAGTAAACTAGGAGCAGGTCCTTTATCAAATGATCAGAACAGAGCCAAAAAGTATTGTAAAGCAGTGCCTAAATCAGCATTAAAAACTTGCATTATTTGAGATTAATGATTGTTTACAATACTTTCCACAGAAGTTATTTGAAATATGCTTAACACTTAAAAACTATATTTTCCAATGAAAACAAGGCAACGTTCTGTAATAAGCCACAAGTTTTATTGCAACGTGGCCAGTTTTTGATCTCAAAAAACAGTGTTCCATTTAAGGCTCTTTTTTAATACAGAAATTGCCACCATGACTGATGTTTTACAAAACTTTAGTGTTTCAAGACTCACATGTTAAACAGATAACTTCTACTCCTGTTCAGTAGTGTACATTCAATGGAAAACAAAAGGCATCGTAACAGCTACTTCATTTATAAAGATATGCATGTAACAGGAATGAAACTGAGGTACTACAATAATCTGATGACACAGTTACAGCAACTTAATTGGCATTCCTTTGGGGGGGCGGGTCAAACATATTACAAAAAAGTGCTTTAAATGCATAGTGTTGTGTGCTGCCATGTCACAAAAATAGGCTTGTCAAGGCAGGTGAGGTGTATGAATGCACAAGAGCCTCATGGAACTGCAATCAAGTGCAACTGTAAGTAATACTGTATAGAGTCTACCATCCGACCAGTGGACAATACTTTCAAGGCATTCAATTAGCTTACCCTTTGCTGTCTGCTAGACTATTTACATTAACTATCACATTCATTGTACATGTTGCAAGGAATGCCTGCAACGTCAGTTTTGGCTAAGAGTATGACGTGAAAGCATTCCTTGGATCCTACAAAAAACTACCAGGATTAAACAGTCTAATGGCAATCACTGGTAGACTGCTTAACAATGACATCTCCTTCAGGGCAGTAGGGAAGGGACTTATTTTTTGAGGAGGGGAGGGGACGGGGAGACTAATACTATTCCAATTGAACGAGCTGCAGAAATGGAAGCTCCTTAGATCCAGATGGCACTTGTCTGTCTTTTTATAAGGGTTTTCCTTCAAGTGAAACTACCACGTTGCCTCCCAATTTCTCTGCAAGTGTTGAACGGTCCTTAATATCATCCAAACCATTTACTTGCCACTCATGTTTAATACCTGAAAGATAGATGGACAACAATGTACTTGTGAGAACCTCAACATCTAGACAGCATTATAATTAAGGAGCAAAACATTTTTAGGTCCATACCTGTAAATTTCTTTTTAATGGCATCTTTAGAGCTTGCGTAGATCATCTTGCTTTTTAAAGGTGCACTTTCAGGGGCCCTTTAAGGAAAGAAGAAAACCACGACAAAAGAGTTATTTGGTCACCCAGTGGTAGCTCCAGAACACTGAATTTTAACAGCAAGCTTTGCTTTTACACACCAGAATATAAATACCAGGTCTTCTTTCTTAGATTCCTTTGTCTCATATGTGGCATCATACAAAGCATATCGGCAATCATTCAAAGGTAGCAACTTCACAAAGGCTGTGTAGGGGTCCTCCACAGTATCTCCAATGTCACCAACCAATATCTGCTTGGACTCCTCTACAATTATTTGTTTTTTGTCATCACTTAAGCAGAAGAGAACAGCTTTCTTTCTTTTTTTAATCTCTTCTGGGGTTGAAGATTTCCTTACTTTCATGTCATTAAAAACCTTTATGACTTCATCATTCACTGTTACTCCAGAAGCCTGTAAAATGAGATCAAAGGAGTAATTTAAACAGCAAAAATTAACACTCGCTAGAAAATACGATAGCCCACAGTGCTAGATAAAGAAGTCTGCCTGCCCCCGTAGGAACAAAAATACTACACTCAACCTGAATACACTACGAATTTAGCAATATTTGCAGGATTGGAGCAGGAGGTGTAAATTCTGTAGTTGCTTGTTGCAGATGTCAGCATCTTCAGCTACATTTCTGGACGGCAGTTTTATACAACTAGGCACACGACTGTACTACTCAAGCAGTTTTCCTTCACCTTATCCTGCCTTTGGGTTATCTGGGGGGAGGGGAAGACCAGGATGGGGTGTGGGGATAGGAACTGAATGCAGGGGACGAGTCTGTAATTTTGGGTTGGGATGGGGGGTGGGGTTTTTGTACGGGTTTGGTTTTTTTTAGCGGAACAAACGCTACAGCAGCAGCTCACATCCAGCACTGTCATGACTCTCATTTTGCTGGGTGAGGTAAGGCTCTACAAGCAGCAGAAATGTTTTCTGCATTGTGTC